ACTGGGTGTTATGCACAAACAATGAATCATGGAACACTTCCTCTAAAACTAATGATGTAATGTATGGGGATTAACATAAGAATAAAAAAAAATTAAAAAAAAAATGTTGAAATCAGGGGCGCCTGGGTGGCTCAGTCGGTTAAGCGGCTGCCTTCGGCTCAGGTCATGATCCTGGAGTCCTGGGATCGAGTCCCACATCGGGCTCCCTGCTCAGTGGAGAGTCTGCTTCTCCCTCTCCATCTGCCTGCCTCTCTGCTTACTTGTGCTCTCTCTCTATCTCTCTTTCAAATAAATAAATAAAATCTTTAAAAAAATAAAATGTTGAAATCACCTGTGCACAAATGGGAATGGCTCTCAGCTCTTTCCCCTGACGACAGTAGTGACTGAGTAAAATGTGTTTTCCCTGCTTTCACTAATATCAGCTGTGCTTATATTTGATGTGGCCTCCCCGCCTCCAACAAAGGGTGCAGATGCACATTTTAAATAAAGCAAAGTGAGAAGGCAAACAGCTACCGAAGGCAAAATCACTAAGGTGGAATGTAAGGTATTCTTGAGGACCCGTCTGGGGGCAGAAACCTCTTGGTTTTGTTCCAACGAGACTGCACCGATGACCACTCATTCTGTGAACACAGGAGGCCAGAGCTAAGAGGGAGCCCCGCTCTATTCTGGCTCTCAGAGGTCCTCTCTAGAACTCTTCCATTTGTGGACTTAGCAACAGCAGGCTCTGGGCTTGTCATAGGGTGCCACAACCCATACTCTGACCCTCATGGGGCCTAAGGATTAGGAAGCTGCCCTACTCCATATCAGCCCACAGAAACACACCCCACTCCCACCATGACACTTACCCCTGAGCCCTGCTCTAACCAATGGCTCAGCCACCAGAAGTTGAAGGTCGTGAGGAAGATGATCACCATCATGAGAAAGAGAACAACAGCAGAGACCATGTAACCTGGGGAGGGAGAGAAGGAGTAACACACAGGTGCCGCAAGAAGGTGAAGGGCAATGGCTGATAAAGCTGCTCAGCCATCCCAAGCCCTTGGATCATCCTGACCTGCATCTACTTTGGATGCCTTGGAGGACTGGAAAGGGCTTGGTTCCAAGGTTAGAAAGCCCAGGGGTCAAATCCTGACTCTACTACTTACAGGTTTTATTAGCCTGGGCAAAGTACCAAATGTCAGTGACATTCCACTTCTTTACCTATGAACCAACCAAACCACAGTCCACACTCCCAACCACCTCCTCATCAAACTCACACAGCAAGCCCATATCCCTGCCCTAAACCCAAGGCCGGGTGCCAGATAACTAGGGACCACTCCTATAGCCCAGAGGCCCCCCCCAAGACTTATTCAAACTATATAATCCTAAATTTACTCAGCATACCTACCCTGCCTTACCTACTCCTTCCCACAAAAAAACAATAAAGGCTTCCAGCCATGTTTTCCCTTCCCTCTGCCTTCTGACCAACCCAGTGCTTCTCCATGTGGCCCTGCATGGCAAGCCATGTCTCTTGTTTTTAGGGATCTGTGAACATAAACTTCTCCCTTTGTGACATTTCCATGTCTGCATGTCTTACCATATCTGATTAAAATAAATCCCAGGTACATTTTAACACAACATGAAACCTAACTTCCAGCACGGACTATGGTGGTAGAGTTACTATAGTTGATGGTGGCTGAGATTGGAATTGTGCAAGTCAAGCCCCTGATTGGCATGACTACCCTGTGCCTCCCTGCTTTGCATGACTGCACACATTCCAGTCTGACCCAGTTTCAGGGGCAGGGCCAGTCAGAGAGAGAGCCCCGGGCAAAACTGACAGACCATACCTCCACTTGCCCGGATGTAGTGGTGGTAGACACTCCATCCCAGGGACCCTTCTTCCATCTTCTCCTTCTTTGTGAGCTGATTTTCCAGCACTGGGTGAGAGTAAGAGAAGAAAGAAATGATATGACTTTCAATCGCTTGCGTGTCTCTCAAGGTCAAGAAGAGCTTTTACAAAGCGTTCTTCCCCTGGCTTCCATGTTTTACCAGCTTCCTCACCTTCCAGCTTCTGTGCCCTACCCAAGCCCGACTCTAACCAGCATGCTTCCATGGAAGACTCTGCTGAAGGTAACTCTTGACCTGGACTCCAGAGCCCAGAAAGAGGTTTCGTCTCCAGCCATTCAATAACCCTGGGTGGGTGGGTGGGGGGGGGTTCCAAGAACTTGTTGGGGTGGGAGAGGCAGCAGGAGAGAATGAAGAAAGCAATGATCTGGGACCAGAAAACTGGGTTCCAGAATGGTCATTACAATACTGTGCAATCTCAGGCAAATCACTTAACCTCTCTGTTTCCTCATCTGACAACTGGCAGGTCTATATAGATGGTTGCTAAGATGTTTTGCAGCAATATGCTTCTGAGAAGTCCTCGGAAAACAGCTGTAGCACTAGTTCAGGCAGACTCTTGTCCTAGAGCAGGGCAGGGAGAGCAGTACATGAAAGTACCAGTAGATGCTGCTAATGATGAGAGCAACAACAGGAAGCAGCACTGTGGGGTTGTCTGTTGTCTCTGCCTGAGGCTCTCCCTTCTAATAACACCCTAATTTCTCCTGGGGAAGAGGGCTCTCTTCCTGGAATTTGAATCTTGAGGGAACTCACACTAGGATGGGAAATATTTGGAGTAGGTTTTCTTCAAAAAATTCTGCACCTATTCGGGCTACTTACACCCTAAAATTGCTGAGGCCCGGTTCCTCAACTTTTCCTTTGATTCTGTGATCTACACTTTTTCCTTCCAAATATTTTTCTGCTCACCTCATTTTCCGACTTTCACAGCTTAAAACGCTCTTGGTGACAGGAGGCTCCACTATGTCGGGCGTTATCCTGAGGCCTCCCTACACCCGACTGCATCTTACCTCCATGACAACACTGCAAAGTAAGGCACTATTACCTTCACTTTTGCAAATGAGGGTTCAGAGTGGTTATGTTGCTTGGCCAAGGTCACGGAACTTTGTAAGCAGAGAGCTAGAATTCAAATCCAGAACTGTCTTTCTGCCCTGCTGCCCTGTCTTAGAGAAGAGCAAGGCCCTGAGCTTCTGGATATCCAAGACTGGGCCCAATTCATTTCTGATTTCTAATACCTTTGTTTTCAACAAACATGTAATGCATGAATGTCTAAATGCCTTACAGTTAAATTTATGCTGCTCCGGGCCAACACTACCCACACCCTGCCTCTGCCTCTGCACACCCTCAGCTCTGCCTCCCACAGCATTCACCTCTAGGATCCTCAGGCCTCCTGACCAGCACAGTCCGCACCCCACAGCCCTCAACTACATGGATCTATAACCTGTGTGTGTGATGTCTAGGATCCTAGACAGTGAGGGACATGGCCCCGTCTGGGGTCCAGGAGGAGGTGCCAGCACCTCTGGAGGAGCCAGGCAGGTTGGCAGATGTGCTCTCCCTTCTCCCCAGCACCATTACCAGCATTTTCATGGAGAGGCTCTTCCTGGCTGGTGGTCTGGGCCTGCCCTTGCACCTGAGGGTCTTCTGCTGGCCTTGCTGTGTCCTGCGGTTTGTCCTGGGGAGAAAGCACATGCCATGAATGCAGGGGGTGTTCCTCCCTGTGGGTAGTAAGGATGCGGTGGGGTGGAAATTACCTGTGTGGTTCCTCCTCCATGCATCTTCTGGATGAGTTCAGCGTATCGCCCCTTTTTCTGTATTAATTCATTGTGAATTCCTTTTTCACAGATTTTCCCATCTTCTAAGAAAATGATCTGGTCACAAAATGCTAAATACTGAAGAGTCAGAAGAAATAAGGCCTTCAGTAAGCATACAAAAAGATATTCAACTTCACCATTCAAAAGGAAAATGTAAATTTAAATCATAATAAAATGTTATTTTGTATACCCACATTGGCAAAAATCTTAAAACACTGCGTAAGTCCAAGCACTGGTGATGACTGGAGGTATAGGGAACTCTCGTAAAAGGTAGGTGTTGTTATAGATTAGTGCAAATACTTGGGACTGGCAGTAATATCTAGTAAAATTAAATATTTAAGAATTATGAACCAACAACTGGACTCTTAAACCTCTACTCCACCAAACTCGCAAATGTGCAAAAAGACACATATAAAAAGATGTACGCCGAAGCACTTTTTTTTTTTTTTGTAAAAGTGAAAAATGGAAAACAACCTTGATGTCCATCCAAGGGGAATAAATTCTGGTATATTCAGATATTGGAATGCTATATCAGTGAGAATTAAATCAAGTTGTGTGTATCAACATGGAAGATCTCAAAAATATAATGCCGAGCAAAACAAGCAAATTACTGAAGGACATAGAAAGTAAACTGTCAATTATATAAAGCTTTAAAATATGCAGAAGGACACTTTATCATGTCTAGAGATTTATACACGTGTTGTAAGGGTATGGAGACCTGCACGAGAAAGACCAATAGCAAAGTGAGGGGACAGAATGCAATCTGAGAGGCGATCTGTGTTCATGTCATGTGGGTGATAGACACATGGGTTTTCAGTAGATTATTTTATAAACTGTCTTTATGTCTGAAATACTTTGTACCCTTCCCAAAATAGGCCAAAATGGAAGGAGAGGGATAAATAATAAATACATCTTGAGGCCAAAACCAAGTATGGAAATACCTAGGGTAAAGGCATTACAAGAGGCAGCCCCACCCCCACATGGTCACTGCACTTCATCAAAGAACATGAGACTTGGGAAATTCTTCTCTGAAAGATCTGTTTTCTTTTTCCATAACTTTAAAAGCAGGAGCCAACCCATAAAATCTTGAAGGAGACCTTCAAATCTGGTTTCAATTTTTACCAGCCACAGAAATCTTTTACCAGCCTGTCCTCTCCACGTGGAAAGCAGAAGAGATCCAGGTTTTTTACAATGCTCCTCAAATGTTGAGGTCTAGTCTGAGATGAAGGGGTAGCCACGGTGAGGTTGTTACGGAATCAATGGCAGAAACGTGAGGATCTACGTTAGCCATCAGTCGTGGCCAGAGCCCTGGAAGGGTGGTCACCTGCAGCTGGTGGGTCACCAGAATGACCGTCTTCCCCCTGAGCATCTTCTTAATGCACTCCTCAAAGATGTGCTTCCCCACGTGGGTGTCCACAGCGGACAGGGGGTCGTCTAGCAGATAGAGCTCGCGGTCAGAGTAGACGGCACGGGCCAGGCTGATCCTCTGCTTCTGCCCCCCAGAGAGGTTGAGGCCCCGCTCCCCAATCTGCAAACAGACAGCCAAAGGCACTGTGTCTAGAGGATGAGCCCAGTGAGGTGTGCTCAAACCAGCCAGGTGGCCAGATGTGACAGACTGAACCCCCTCAGTGCACACTCCTAGACACCTCGTGATTGGGCACCCCTAGTATTTAAAATTTTTTTTCAAAATTTGCTTAGTAGGGAATGAAAAACTGATTTTCAGTTAATTAAAATCTTATAACTCACAATTAGATGCAATGTTTCTAAACCCTTCAACATCTCAGTTGACATTTTAAAACTTTAGCAATTTAGTTAATAAAACAAATCATTCCTAAGAAAGAGCACCTCCTTACATCTTATTTGGGTTTTAAATCTCTGTTGACAGCAACCATCCACTTGCAGGACCATCAGCCCTCGTTGTTGAAGACGGCACTGAGCACAGCCAACTCCGTAGGACAGGGCTACAATGGCCAGAAGGGGCTCTATTGTTGCTGTCATGGGAAGGACCACCTTACACAATGCCTTACGCCGTCAGGAGATACTAAGAGTCATTAACAAGCAACCAGAATTACTGAACAGCATGTGCAGACTATCATGCCAGGCATCTGCTGGCTGGCCTATCCCTCAGTCAGCCCTGAGGACAAGGGCGCCAGGGGCTAAGTCCCAGTCCCTGCTCTACCATGAACTCTTGTGGTCTCTGTAGAAAAGCAGCAGAGTCTAAAGAGCAGCAGGGTGACCTCTAGTCACTGCGCTGCCTCTGGTTCAGCACCGTGTGCCCTTGGACAGGCTGCTTTGCCCGGGGCCAAGGCTTAGTTTCGCATTCAGTCCTCACTCAGCAGATGCTTACTTAAGTGCCTACTGTGCTCGCATGATAAGCTAACACCCACTCCAGCTGAGCATGTTCACCCCACTTTGTATGTATCAACTCATCTAAACCTCAAGCTTGATGAGGTCCATATTTACTGATGCCATTCTACAGACCAGACCTTCTTCCTTCTACTGAAGAGATAACCCTGAACGAGACAACTGAGCACTCTGCCGTCAAAGGTTTGCAGACCCACCTTTAAAAGAAGGATAATAAGAGCACCGACCTCCTAGAATTACCTGAGGCTCACCTAAGACAATGCGTTCAAGTTGCTACAGTAGTCTTTTGCATCTGGCAAGTGCTCAGCAGACTGAGATAACAGATAATACAACAATATTGCTTTATCTCAGAAAGGTCTTATGTAGATTAAAGGTGTCTACAGGTGTGAAGGATGGCGAACTGTCAAGAAAGTGTGACTGGCGTTGCCCCTGGGAAGCCATGGTGGCTGTTCCCACTGGCAAAAGAAGAGCTGGCCAGAGGGGGCAGGGCGGGAGGTGGGAGAGGGGAGGAAATGGGGAGGGATGGGAGGTTTCTCATTTTCACTGGGTCTCCACTGCTCTTGCTCCAAAAGGAGGAGTTCGAGGTCAGCTCCCCATCCTTGTGGGGTAAGGTAGGCTCTTTGCCAACTCTCACTGTAAGATGAACCCCAGTTTCCTCCCTGGGGGGAGAAGGCTTTGAGGCAGCAGCTGCAGGGCCATTGGCTGCTTCGGGGAAACAGCTGGAGTCCCCCCCTCTACCTACCCAGGGAGGCAGCCTGAGGATCCCAGAAAACCATTACAAAGGCACCAACACAACAGAGATGGGGGATGCTCGCCTCCCACTCACCTCGGTCATGTCTCCGAAGGGCAGAATTTCCAGGTCACGGTTCAGGGAGCAGCAATGGAGCACCTGGAGATACCTGCGAAGGACAGATTGCTAAAGGGACAAGTGGCCCAGCCACAGGCCCTCCAGCCTTCCCAAGCTGGGAAGAGATAGGTCTTGCATTCCATGCTAAGCAATTTGGACTTGATCCTGAGTTTAACAATAAACTCATGGGAGGCTTTTTTTGCATTTCCTTCTTCCCTTCATTTCTTTCCGTCTAATACACGCACTTAGTAAATATTTGAACAGAACAACAACAAAAAGAGACAGTGAAAATCAAGTCTCTCTCGTCTTTGACTCTGAGTTGCTTTCCACGGAAGCAGCCACTATTACAGTTTCCTACGTATTCGTTCAGAAATAACGTGGTTGTATATGTCTGTGTGCAGCATATATAGCTTTGTATTGTTTTAACGGCACCATAATATTTTGTTATATGGCTGCACCATAAACTATTTAACCAGTGCCTCTGTGATGGACATTGGGTTGTTTCTAGTCTTTTGCTACTATGAACAATGTGTAGTGTGAACACTCTTATAGATGGGCCTTTGTGCCCATTGGGGACACTATCTATGCATTCATTACCTAGCAGTGCTGAGTCTAACAATTGGGGCATTTTTATTTTTGACCAAATACTTCCAAACTGCCCAGTGAGTTCTATCAGTCTGAAAGCAGAGCAATGACGGTGAGAGCTATGTTTTGGGATGACTACCCTGGAGGCGGGACCCAAGATGCAGGGGCAGAGCAGGAGAAGACTGGAGACAGGGAGCCAAAGGCAGGGGCAGTGGGAACGGTTCAAGCAAGAGATCACAGGCAAGAACTGGCAGTGGAGACGGAGAAGAAGAGAGAAAGACGAGACCTATTTAGGGGATAGAGTTGTCCAAGGTGGGTGACCAATTAGACGTAAAGTATCAGAGGAGGAGGCATCAGGCTCCTTGGGATACCCAGTTCAGTGATGCCATTAAACTGAGTTGGGCAACTTGGGAAGAGAAGCAGGCAAGATGGGGGTTGGGCGAGCAGGGTGCCCCTGAGCTGGTATTGGACCTGATGTTTCGGAGCCCGCAGGACAGCCAGCTGGAGATCTCACACCCCTACATGCCCCTCAGTGTTGCTATGGGTGCAGATTGCAACATCAAGCAAACAGTGATAGGAGGCCAGGGTCCACCAGACTTGGAAGCACGACTGTAGCATTCAGAGAAGCTTTTGTGGATCCTCCATTGAACAGACTTCCAAGTGCGTGTCTCAAGCAGGTTAGCCCCAGACCCTGGGAGGGAGAGGCCACGAAGGGCAAGGATGGTGGTGGGCGGCCCACCAGACCATGAATCCAAACTGTTTTCTTCTACTTCACATGACCTCATCACCCTTTCAACTTAGAGGTGGGGAATTAATTAACACAAACGAAGTTTTAAAGTAATGTTTTTAGAGGGGGAGGGTTATTTTGACTCATAGAGTATAACAACTACACATGAAGTTTCTGATAACAACTGGGTTCGAATCGTGATTCTAGCATATCCTCCAAGCTCTGTGACTTTAGGCAAATTATTTAACCTCTTGGGGCCCCAGATGACTCATCTAGAAAATGGATATGATAATAATCTCTCTTTGACGCATATAAGTGAGCTCTCAGCAAGGGTTAGCAGCTGTCCAATTACTATTAGCTGCAGGGCATCCCTCCCCCAACCAGCCCCATGCACCTGTGTCCCTCCTGGACCCTCCCAGAAACTTACCGGGCCTTGTCATACTGGTGTCCCATGAGGATGTTCTCCCTGACGCTACCCCCGATGATCCAGGCCTGCTGGGGGACATAAGCCAGGCTTCCGTGCACCCCCACCGAGCCCTCCATCAAGTGCATCTGCAGCAGAGTGAGTCCAGCCTCAGGACCAA